GTTTAATTTGGATACCAACGATTATTATTTAGCGACAGTGACTCTCACAAGAACAGTTAAGTATCGACCACGATGTCTTTTGACTTCTGATTTCTTTAAATTTTTAATTATAATTGTTAATTACCAATTTGTGCAAATCTGTACAAAAGTCGATACCTAAATATCTGAAATAATCATCTGTAGATTTCTGTCCAAAAGAGCAGCATCTCTCTTGTTTTTAATCCAATCCATATCGCATGTGTCTTATGTATATTAACTTTTAAACCAGACATTGCATTAGATTCATCTAAAAATTTTAATGCTCTGTTTAATTCTGTTACTGCTCTGTTCAATTCAATGTTAATTTGCTACAACAATATTTCATGAAATCATGTAAAATATGAACTAAGTTAAAACTGAAACTCAATATCTAAAGCAACAACATTATGCTGGAAATGCTTGAATATGATCAATGCATATACTGAATCAATTAGAAAATGAAGACGTAATACTAGAAGACTATATGTACTTTGGCTAATACCCCAAACATAAGGCCACATGTCATGAAAAGCGATACATTTTCAAAAATCTTTGGCTCATATTTTCAAATGAGTAATTTTACCAGTTTTGGAAAATAGCCCAAATATGTCATGTAAACAGATAAATTTATACCCCAGAGCGAAAAATTGTACAGTTTATCCAGCCTCTAAAAATGCCTAAACTTTAAAAAATTGCCAAGGGAAAAACCTGCATCTAGCTCCCTACTATTAAAGCAACAAGAGGGGTGGCTTTTTAAGAGTGCATGTCCCCACTCTTTAAAAGTAGGGTCTAAGACAGTTTACAAATTCTAGTATAAATTTCTTTTCGGCTTGTTTACACAGTGGCGGATCCAGGGGGGCACAGGGGGCACGTGCCCCCCCCCCCCCCCGGCCAAAACAAATATGTTAAAATCAGCCCTAAATTCGCCCAACATATACTGAAAAACAGGGGCGTGCCCCCCCCCCCGGCCAATTTTTTTTTTTTTTTTTTTTTTTTTTTTTTTGCAAATGCCAATGGCTGACCTAAAAAGGTGACCTTACCCCCCCCCCCCCCCCAACGGAGCAAGATGTCAAATTTAAAAATTTCGTGACCCCCCCAAAAAAGTGTCCTCTTCCCCAAGATTGAGCTTACATAATGATTGAGATTGCAAATCATATTGTACGGGCATAAAATGTTCTCGAGACATTATTTTATCTATAGGAATTATATTTGATGAAATTTTGATATTTCGCTATGTGTCAGCATGGTCAGTTTCTTATTAAAGATATTCTTATGTTGTTTATCATGATAAAGCTATAGTTTATTTTTCATGAAATAAATGTATGGAAACCAATCCTGTAAATGAATATCTGATAACTTAAATCATATAGATGTATACATGTCCACATAACAAAATGTATCCCAAATTAAGTTTTTAGTATATCAGTCATTGTATTTATGGCATGGTTTATGTGATTTTGTCCCTTTTGCTAAGCTGGAATTGGTAATTTCAATCATAGGTACCTAAAGCGAGGAGTATAGGGGTATATAATAATTCAAGTGGGGTATGGGCATCACCAAAAAAAAAGGAAGAATAAAATTACCTGTAATTATTTTATATCACAACGATGTTTCCGCATAAGTTGCAAAATCCCAAGTTTTCTCACTCCCTCGAATTCAATAAACGCGGTATTTCCTAACACTGTAATAATTATTTGTTTAAAGCAGCAGACGCAATGGGGACAAATGCTTGATGCTAGATGGGAAGTGACACAGTATTCGAGGGGGTAATTTGTTTTTCCCGTCCCATCCCGCAAGACGAAATCTTATATATACGACATAAACCATCTTGCAAAATGCAGTATAAACATTTTTTTAAAGGCTTCTTGTGCTCTAATATATACAGAGTTTCAACATTTACAAATCTAACTTTTCTCACTCGATTGCTACGCTCTCTCGCACAACAATAGTATTACAAAAATGAGGAATAAACGTTTCCCTCGATCTTTCAAAGGAGCGACAATATTTGTTTTGCCATTTTACAAGAACACAGTTGATGAGGTGTGGTGACTGAGCATAAAATTGCAGCAATGCATGCGCATTCCGTGGAAAAAAACTCAGCCCCATTAATAGTATGACTTTGAAATTGCATCAAAAGTGGCTCATATGAAATTTGAAGACATAGACCAGTGGCGGATCCAGGGGGAAGGGGGGGGGGGGGGGAAAGGATGCCATTTTCGAATATTCGGCCCCCAAACACCCCCCCCCCCCGCTTATTCACCGGCTTGCTGTTTCGCCGCTAAATATTTTCTCATCATTGGGCCCCCTCTTTGGCCCCCTCCCCAACCACCGGCTGGATCCGCCCCTGACATAGACTATTATTATTTAACTAACATAGGGATTCTTTTGGCCATCGAAAAAATCTCAACTGCCATAGTTTAACACGGAAAGACAAGTCTTTTAATGATGATTACGCTACCTCTGGAATGTCTTTAAAAGGATGTGAAATGCGATTTAAATGAAATTTTGAAGACATGAACTACCATCAACATGAACTCGAAAAGCCAAGGAGACCTATACTTCCTTTGTGTGTTCCTAACCACTAGAAAGGCGATTCGCCTGACAAAAAAAAACCCCAAAAAACTTGGGGGCGCGGAGAGGGGGGGGGGGGGGGGGGCATATAGGTAAACGGCTTGGTTAACACGGGAAAAGGAGGTTTTTGAGAATGGTTTTCATTACCGTCGTATATGACTTTGAAATTGCATCAAGTGTGATTCATAATTAAAGACATGGAGTACCATAGAATCATTAACTCGAAAAGCTGAGAAGTCCTCGCAGAAATTTACAACAATATGACTACTTTTTTAATCTAGACCAGACCTTTTCACCTCTATATTGAGTTCCCTTCTTTTAGGTACAAGAGGTGACCCTTACCGTCTCTGATAATTGCCCCCATTCAAATCTGAGAGATTCCCCTTAATCTGACAAGTGCCCTTTTTCTTTTATAATAAGTGCCCCTTTTATTTTGACACATGCCCCCTTTCCTTTTTAATAATAGTGTCTCCCCTGCTCATAAATGCCATTTTTCACCTTTGATATAATTATGCTGCTGTTAAAATCTGATAGGTGCTCTTTTCCTATTCTCATAATTGACCTTTTCCCCTTCTGATAGGTGTCCCCTTTTGCTTTCTCCATAACACGTGCCCTTCCTTTCAAGCGAATTAGAGCATTGTTTTCTCGAATTCCCCCAAAGCTATAGTTTACAAATTATATAACTTACTAAAGGTATTTTCAGTCTTTCATAATGATATTATGCTTAAGACCCCCATTAGGATTTCCCCTCTTTATAAGATCTTTTTGGTCGCAACGTGACCTCAAAAATCTTAAAATATTCCTCGCTCGCTTATTTAAGACGACCAACTGCAAACTAATGCTTAAACAGTATGTTAGACCATGTAAAGAGAAAAACAATTATTAAATAAACCCTCGCTGGTAATGACTATTGATCACAAAGTAGGGTTATTATATACAATGCCTAAAAATCTTATGTATATTTTCCCTTTGAAATTTTCCATTGTAGGTGCCCTTTTAATTCTAGAAAGTGTCCCTTTTTGTTAGTGCCCTCCACCCACTTCGAAATTATTTCTTTTAGTTTAAATTTGTTATGTGTTATGCTTGTTTCCTTGCTTGTTAGAATGTCAGACAATTTCGAGTCAAAACTTACACCTTCGATAATACAATAACCATTTTGATGTGTTTTCTTTTAATTGCTTTGCGGATCCGCAGTTTGAGAGTTTAAAATTAAAAATTTCTAAGACACTATAAGAAGTCCATTCAATATAGAGCTCGATTATGAATACTAAACGTTTTATAGTCTACAATTTTTGCATATTATTTTATATATATAATCATATAAATTAAAGATATAAATTTTGTTATGACTGCAAAAATGATGTGAATAATACTCGATAAGAATAAACACTATACAGCAGTCAAATTTATGTTTAAAAACAAATAGTAGCCTGTTTTTGTTTTACCTTTAATCAAAATATATTCAAATAGTTGTGAAAGAATTATACTTTTCCTTTTCTAGTTTCAAAAATATATCCGTCAGACGGACAATAAATGATAATGTATACAAATAATTGAGTAAACTATTTTCTTCCCAGTAACTATGTAGCCTGCTGTCGATGACGATCCGTTGGCTACCGTTGACGGATACCGGGTTTAACGCAAGATGAGATATAAACGATTTCAGACGACCAAATGACCATTTCCATTTCCCCTTGCCTTAGTTCTGCATGTGCGAGGCCGACATTGTTACAGCGACAACCAAGGGCGTGGTCATTCCAGTACACTTTTCTCAACATAGTGACTGAAGTCCGAACTCAGCATAACTATAAACCTAACATTGTCCCCATTGTCCCCCACCCCCATATCACCTGCACCTTATCGTCCCCTGCAGTCCTTCACTAATCCTTTCTGGTGCAGTTAGAGTTAATTCCTGTCTCCTAATTTGCGACGTAGTTATGCGATTTTACTCACGTTTTTTTTTTTTTTTTTTTTTTTTTGGGGGGGGGGGGGCTCTATTAAAAGCAAATTATATTGGAGCGTACTTTACCTTTAAAGAGAAACGCTGGTGGAAGTGTGTGTTAAGGTTTATAGTATTTTGAGGTAGAACAAATAAAACAAAGCATTCAGTGTTTGTCCGGTACACTCTTTTTTCTGGGTTTTGCTCTATAAATTTTATAATAAGTTCTTAAATTAAATTTCATTCACAGAGTCATAATTAAAGGATTATCAATAAATGGGGAATCGAGAGTTAGTCGACAATGAAAGTATCAACATTTGTTGCCAATTAAATTTTCCAAAATGCAAGATGAAAAAAAAAGACAAAAGAAAACAACTTCTTGTCTACTTGAGATAAAACCCCCCAAAACCTGAAAGAAACATTGCTTTTGTGACCGGCAGGAAATGCGATACTATATAACGCGCGCATGCGTACGTCAATTCATTACGATCTATCGGTTGTAAAGGCGGTGAAAATGGCTGAGGATTATATCTACGAAGTAAGTAGAAAAACTGATCCAGTATCCTGATTCGAGTTGTGACTATTGTTGTGGCCGCCATGATTTAGTAGATGTATATGTGGATGGTGTTTTACATAGGTTTGATCGTCTTGAATGTGTCAGGATATTGAGAAATCACGATGTTATTTGGGGTCGTATGTATCGGTTTACATTCTTGCTGTGTGCGGCGAGTGTACGCTATATGAACGGAGCAGTGTGTGTAAAGTGAGGGACAAGGTCCCCGTGTGAAGTGTATTGTCAATTGATGTATTATTCGGTCACAACGTACGAAATTCAGTCGGAGCGTTTGCGAAGCCTAGATTCTAGATGTGTAAAAATTGTCTTAACCACATGTATGATCTTTAAATTAATGAATGTTATTCTTCCGGGACAGCGCGGGGTTTAATGTAATTCATTTATATTAAGCATGATAAGAGTATTTATGAATGAGTGCTGGATGGTTGTCACTGAATTATTAATTTTTGAAAACTTTTCAAATCTGTTTGACCAGAACCAAGCAAGATAAAGAACTCTTTATTTGAAACTTGTCAGGTGTGTAAAGTCTATAGCTGTGTTCACAAAATCAATATAGGCCTATGTCATTCAGTCATTATAATTGATCTAGAGGCTGGATCTAACTAATATAATTAGATCTAACTAAGTTAGTTGTTTGCTGCATTGAATTTATCATTACACAGAGAATTTGGGGGAAGACTTCTTTTTGTGACAGTCACCCAAATTGAAGAAGGAAAAAAAATGGGTAGACAATGACATAGATCTAACAATGATATCATATGATATACGTACGGGACATTTAGAGACTTTAAACAAGAAATAACAACAGATGAAATTATTTATATGGCTATCTTTTGGTATGAGTCTGTGGCTATTATGGGCTAGTTCATTTGTGGAAAGTTTTAGTTCTGACCAATTTTTTAATTAATTTTAAATGTAATTAATGTGCTGCGTGACGTACGGACGCTGTGGTCCCATACGTCACATCTGTTGTATTTCATCTGTTGTTATTTCTTGTTTAAAGTCTCTAAATGTCCCGTACGTCACAATCCAAATAGCTTGGACCTGCACTTCCAAGTTCTATCATTTATTGTTTCTAGACCCAGTGGTAACATAGACCTAGACCTAGTACACTTGTCAATATAGTACATGTACAGGTATGTAGTAAAGAAGGGTCTACTTTATTGAGCAAGGTTTTTTTCTCCAATTGCTATGACTAGACTGGGCGCTAGTTCAGAAGTCTATCCAGACTTTGACCCGGAACTCCGGCGTGGAGATACCCTACTAAAATATACCAAAAATCGACTAACTCTCCATCAATTGTTCAAATAATGGTCATGATATGAAAGTAGTTATGTTTCTTACCTGTTTCGTGCCAATTTTCTTATCTTTTTGGGGGTATTTTTCCTAAAAACAAAGACTTATATACACTTTCTCACAGGATTCACGGCAAACTGTTGCACAATACTATACAAATAGTGAATGGTCATGAGTGCAATGGTACAAGATTTTGCACGAGGTGAAAGATAAGAGACTCTATATTCAACGAGGCGCAGCCGAGTTGAATGGAGCATCTCATCTTTCACCGAATGCAAAGTATTGTTCCATTGCACGAATAAAGACCTTCACTATGTGTTTTATACAACACCTCGGACATTAACGGGCTTAAAACAGTTTTCCTAGGCCTAAATCTCAGCGATTTTTTGTTTGTTTTCAATTGATGAAATTGCTGATAGTGAGTGCGCACCATACGTGTACCATGCGCCACGCGTACCAACCTTTATGTTTATTGTTACGCGGAGTGCAATTTCGTTTGATCCTTTCGCACCATTGCACTCTGACGTCACTAAGCTCACCATATACATTGTACACCGTTAGTGACGTCAGAGTGCAATGGTGCGAAAGGATCAAACAGAATTGCACGGCTGGAGAATTATGCGGTTCAATGGTATTTTTAGCGCATGTCATGTGATCAAGAATTGACCAATGAGGTTGCAAGAATCTTAGTAGGCGTTGTATAAAATTGCATACCGTACCGACGGTGGGGTGCGCATGTGCTAAGTTAGCTACCGTATTGATGAATTGCTTAGATTACAGTCACTAACTTATATTGCGTGGCCCGCACCCGTATCGTCTTATAACTAGTAGGCCTACTACTACTACTAAATGTACTACTATTACTACATGTACTACACCACCATCACTACTGCTACCACTAACACTACCACTACCACTACTACTACCACTACTACTAATACCACTACAGCTACAATTATTGTTATCGTTGTCCAATACATCATTATGGGTATGTTTATGCTCAGCTTTTTCTGGCCAGAATGAGGCATTTGTTAGGTGTTTAGTTCAAAACATGGTTACGTCCTTACTCATTTTTGTAGAATCACAGAAAAACGGCGATCATAATCGCCGATCGTAAACCCACAAAAAGGTGCGTTTAGGATCGGCGATTCTGGGGAAGCATAAACGCACAATCATTTGTAAACACGTGTAAATAGGGTCAACGTAGCATGCGCAATGCAGACTATGCACTGCATTTCTCTGGCTCCTCCAGGCATGATTCTGGCTCTGAGCCAGAATCATGTCTGGAGGAGCCAGAGAAGTGATCATGAACAGTACACCGTGGAACTGCGATTACGATGAGCGTTTCAAATCGCTCATTCTGCCTTCAAAATTGAGCATAAACGTACCCTAAGATATATGCAATATTCAATAATGATACTACTACAAGTAAACTGCTACTGTAGTACTACTACTTTTGCAATGGTGATCTTCGTCATTGCTTTGTTTTTGTTCACATTCTGCCCTATTAATATTTTTCTTCTTTTTATGAGGAAATCACATTCGTTTTGCACGTACATTGTCTCTCTCTCTCTCTAAGTGCCATATCGTTTGACTTTGGCGATCATGCTGTTCCACAACCCTCGGTTCCTAGCCTTCTGTATTAGTACCACTCCTAGTTCTTCCACTCCTCTCTCTCTTCCAACAATTTCTGCAGACTGTCCATCCAAAGTATCCTCCTTCTTCCCCTACTCCTTCTTCCCACAATTTTCCCTGTCAAAGCAAGATTCTCTAGGCCTTCTTTACGTGCAATGTGACCCATGAACTTCAACTGCCTAATCAACATCTCACGTGTCATTTTCCTTTGCACTCCAGCTCGTGTAAGAACTTCCTCATTACTAACTTTGTCAGTCCAGGGGATTTTCATCATTCTTCTTTATAAGAACCACATTTCGCAACTTTTTAGTATCAGAGGCTTAAGTCCATGTTTCACTACCATACAAAAGTACTGGGTATATGTAACAATTTAATACTCTTATTCTGGTCCTCATACTCATTGTTCAATTTGTCAGAATTTTGCCTAGCTTTGAAAATGCAGATTTAGCGAGAGCTATCCTTCTCTTGATCTCTGTCTCACATCTGGCATCCTCGGTGATCATGCTGCCGAGGTAGTTAATGAGGAGACTTGTTTAATAATCTGTTCTTTCAGTTTCAAGTTACATTTTGGACTGCTCTTCTTAGAGACCACCAGGCACTTTGTACTCTTGGTATAGTTGATCTCTAGTCCCATTCTCTCACTTTCTTTTACAACTACATTCAGGAGTCTCTGGAGATCTTTCTCTGATTCAGAAAATAAAACAGTGTCATCAGCATATCTAATATTTGTGATTGAATGGCCACCCTCTTGTATCCCATTTTCATCTTCCAATTCTCTTAGAATGATTTCACTATACATATTGAACAGGTCCGGCGACATAACACAACCCTGTCTGACTCCCCGTCTGATGTTAATATATTCACTACACTCTCCTTCTACCCTGATGCATGCAAACTGATTCCAATATAGACTTTGTAGCAGATCTTTCCTATATATATCAAGCTTTTTCATCTCTTCAAAAAGTTCTGAAAAATTTACTGTAGTGCTTGTTATTCCGATCTACATGTAGGCCTTATTCTCTTGCCCTATTACCAACCAAATTTCGTAGGCATAATCTCTAGCATCCCATCAAGGTCACTACGTTCTTCATTTTTTGAAATCACTCATGCGTAACCGTTCAGGCGCCATTTTGTCCGTTTCTGGTCCGTCTTAAGGCCTTTCTTTTTTCCTTCCTATAGATCCTAGATTGTAAATATTTCTAACAAATTCCTTTAGATGGATAACCTGACCTTCAAAATGCGATCTTCATCCTCATACGAAATTCAAATCTAAAACTGCCTCCGTCAAAAATCTCTGAAATTCTTGAAAAATTGACCTCTAAAATTCTAAAACTACCTTAACTTTCTCATTTTGTTTTGTTTTGTTTCACTTTCTTACACCCCATTCACAGTGGTTTTGAAATTTGTAGCGGCGTTGTAGCGGAGCGGCGACACCGCCATAACACCGCTACAAATGCATTCACAGTAGAAAAGTTATCCCGCTGCAGCAGCGGGATAAATATCATGTACCCATTCACGCTGCAGCGGGTGATTTTTATTACCTCCGTAACAAACACGTGTATGCATGGCTCATGACCCGCGAGTGACCCCGATATGACCGGAAATACTTCAGCGCGGGGTTTTCGATTGCTCGAAATTGCGCGCGCTAGCTGTACTTTACACACTCTTCCTCATGTAGCTAGCTCGATCATATTACTTTTTAAAAAACTAGCATTTTTATTGCTTCCAGTCAGAATAGTAATTTTTTGAAGTGTGAAATATTTTTATTTGGATAATCATAATATCTATATAATAATAAAATCAATTTGAATCCACTGGTTACTTTATTTCTATTTCACTTTATGTTCCCCATTGCTGGAGAAAAGAGGTCAGTGATAGGTAAGTAAACAAATCACACGTGTTTGTCGCGGTGTTATAGCGGAGAGCCTTCACACTGAGTAAACACCGCGACAGCAGCGGGACTGTCCCGCTGCTGTAGCTAGGCGAACCTAGCGATAGTTTGTCGCGGCGTTATCGCGAGGCGGTGTTATCCC